ATAACGCAAAGAGAAATAAACTTACAAATTTATTATTAATTATTATCATTATAAAATTATGAAGAAAATAAAACAATTTAATTCATTCACATAACTTGAATAGCTTGGATCTTGGACTTTAAATGGGCTTTAAATTTGAAATAGAAAATTGAAACTAGACTTGTAGGGCTTATACCCAACTAAGGGAGCCCTTCCAGAAATTCTCAATAGCCTGGGCCAAGCCCAGGCCAAAGAGGGGGTTTGGAAATAGTTTTCAACCAGCAATTGACGCGCCTCGGTTGGTACCTCACTAGCTGCGTCATTGCCCCAAGCGCAAAGATACTTTATTTCCAGGCCAAACCTCTGCTTTTATATTACAACCCTCCTATCCCAATTTTTACAACTTTTCGATGTGGGATACATAACTAACATTACCACCAAACTCTACAAAATCACAATATATGTATGTGTGTGTGTGCGCGTGTGTGTATATATATGCAGAGTTCACTTGTTCCATATATATTGCATTCATTCAATATCACCATGTTCTGATTTTATTCATGGAGCCAAACATGCTGTGAAGATGGACTAGAGTTTGGTTATTGATATTGCATTATGTTGTTGCAATTAAATTAGAAATTGTGCCCCAAACTTCAACATGCATATATGTGAATATTGGTTTGATCAAGAGTTGTAATTTAGTGATACTGCATCTATGGTCTTTTAAAGTAGAAGGTCGATGATTCAAGTCTTGGAGAGGCACATCTATTCTCATAGTTGATTTCGTAAATGTGAGACAAAATTTGTACAATTGTCTCACGATGTACTGCAAATGATAGGGATTTATGGTTAATAATACTTGAATTTAGCTATTCGATATACATAAAAATTAACGGCTTAATAAATTTATTGATTCAATTTCCATGAAGATGGTTTGTTTTTTTAAAGTTATTCATACCACGTCTCTGAGGAAGCATATGACATTTTAGGACCATAGGAAGTGTGTGGTGGAACAAATCATTCCACTTCATCCTAGTTAGACCATTATTCATTCATAATCTGAATATTATTCATCCATTATATATATTTCTTTTTCCAAGTTTCAACTTCAAGACCAAAATTTGTCACCCAAATCTATACTATTCTAAAAGTGTAACAAATTTCTTAATAATTTTAAATTTTTAAAGAATATAAAATAAGTTTCATTAAATATTTTACATTAAATTTGTTTTACTAACAATTATTATAATTTTTAATTCGTGTTTGGAATTCTAAAAAGTACCAAATTAATCACACTAAATGACGCCAGATCATTATAATTGTTAACAATTTTGTATCTATATTCATCTATCTATATCTATACCATTCTAAGAAATTTTATATTTTTAAAAAATATAAAATAATTTTCATTAACTACTTTACATTAAATTTGTTTACTAACAATTATTATAATTTTTAATTCGAATTCTATTTGGAATTCTAAAAAGTACCAAATTAATCACACTAAAAAACACCAGATTATTATAATTGTTAACAATTTTGTATCTATATCTACACTTAATTGTTAACTTTTATTTAGTTTGGAATATATATATATATATATATATATATATATTTACTTTAATTAAAAGTGTACTAAATTTTTTCTAACACAATTATTATTTCATTGGTTATTGATGGCATGTTTTTTTTATCCTTCTATTTTTAAAATTTTCTATTCTAAAAGTGTAAAAGTCATTTTTTTATTATTTCTTGTTATAATTTTTAAATTCATTCAAACACATGTTCTCTGGTATTAAAACAATATTATCGGTTACATTTTCGGACCCCACTTCAAATCATTCCCTTCAACCACCTTGAAAACCCTAATTCCACTAAAACACGTCCTCAATCTTATTAAATGTGTTACATTAAATTTGTTTTACTAACAATTATTATAATTGTTAATTCGAATTTTGTTTGGAATTCTAAAAAGCACCAAATTAATCACACTAAAAGACACCATATTATTATAATTGTTAACAATTTTGTATCTATATCTACAGATAATTGTAAACTTCTATTTAGTTTGGAATTTTATTTTATTTTATTTTTTGCTTTAATTAAAAGTGTACTAAATTTTTTCTAACACAATTATTATTTCATTGGTTATTAATGGCATTTTTTTTATCCTTTTATTTTTAAAATTTTCTATTCTAAAAGTGTAAGTCATTTTTTTATTTTTATTTTTTATTTTTTTATTTCTTAACATGTTATAATTTTTAAATTCATTAAAACACACGTTCTCTGTGATATTAAAACAATATTATCGGTTACACTTTTAGACTCCACTTCAAATCATTCCCTTCAACCACTTTGAAAACCCTAATTCCACTAAAACACGTCCTTTATCTTATTAAATGTGTGTGTGTTTTTTTAAGGGTTTTAAGTTTAAGCCCTCTGTTTTTTTACTGTTTTCATAATGTGTATTTAAGGACTTCAAAGGTTTCATCATGTTGGGTTCATCCTTTTTTGCTTGCCAATGGAGTTTCAAACCATTAGAAGAAATCTTGAGTTGCAAATATATGTTTCAAAAATTCATCCACCAATACCTTCAAAAACTCCTATCAACAAACATTGGATTTTCAAATGGGTTTAAGATTCAAATGGATTATTCCGTGGAGAATGAGACCAAGTAATCTGGAAAAATGGATAGTTTGTTAAAAGAAAGAGAGACAAATTATTGGAATAAGCCCGGATAGCGTGTCTGAACCTAGATCGATCTCGAAGATTGGTGCATCTGGTTAAGGCGAACTGAAATGACTCAAATCAAAATGATGGAAAGCAAATCACAATAAGGCAATAGAATCTGTGCGAGGTCCGTCTAAAGAGTTTTGGTTGGTAAGAATGATGATTTTCGAAATTGTACTTTTTTTTTTCTTTTTTTTTTTTTTTCTTCACAGTTTCCTTGATTTGAGAAATTTTATTATTAGTTCTCTTGCCAGAGGTGATTGTATATATTTATATGTATATATATTTATCTGGTTTATTGTTATATATATCTATATATCATACCTTACTACAAGATCCTTCAATTAAGTCAGCCAACAAGCATACTTTTTTCATGTAAAACAAGTTTCCCTACGTCATGATCCGGCTCATGGCATCTATTTCATTTTCATAATAAATTTTTTTCTATAATGTGACATATACTATCTTATTATGCCTAATGTTTGAATTTTGATATCTTAAGAATCATAAATTAATTTTATTTATAGTATTAAGAAAACAAAGTTATCCACTTGGCAAAGGAAACCAAGTTTTGACAAAGGAACTCCAATTAGTGCTGAAACAATTTAAAATTTTGAATTCATGGCAAAGAAAAGGTTAAAGGAGACAAAGTTAATTGTGTGATTTCATTCTTGTGTTGCGTATTTTTCTTTCCAAATCTTTGGAAGATGACTCCAATTAGGGAAAGAGTTACTCAATTTTGAAGTTTTTTTTGTAGGGTATAAGAGGTATTGCATATGTTGACCTTGGAAATTTTTATAGATATTTTTTATTATTTATATTTTCTCTTGAAATATGTTTTTGGGAGTTTTTTTTTTTTCCCCCTTTCTTGGTTTGTGTTCTCGTATACTATAGAACTTTGCATATTTTTGTTCACAAATTGAATTTAATTAATCAAATATATGGCTCGTATGGATAGTTTCAAAAAATACGATATTACAAATTATACTTTAAATTTGAGTTTATTAGAGATTTTTAAAAGTGGTTTTGATCTTGCACCATAGAAATAAAAAATTAAAAAAAAAAAATTGATTTATAGAATTTTTTTGGTTTATACATGTACACTCTTGATTTATAAACTAAATTTTCTATTAAAATTTTTATCAAGATTTTAATCACGTGTATACGTAACTGATGGAATAGAAAAAAAAAATGTTTTGTATCTAAATCATATAATATTAAGAACCAAAATTTGATTCCAATTAATCCGAAATTGATGGAATGTTAACTAATGAACATATAATTTTCATATTAAAATCATAGACTATTAAAAACCAAAAATTGATTGCCATTAATATGATACACTTAATAATAATTGTTTTAGAAAATTTTAGTGTCAATAATACAAATAGAGAAAGTTGGAAAGAATATTTTAATTGAAGTAATACAATAAGAACATTTAATGTAAACTATTTAATATAAATGATTTTTTAATTTTAGAAATATAAAAATGTTAATAAATAGAGACTTTTACCATAATTCATTGAAAGAATGTTTTAATTGAAGTAATACAAATATTGTACCAAAAATAAGAATAGACAAAGGTGGGCCTTTTTCCACAATTCTTTGAAAGACAATGTTCATCAACTGTGGAGAGAATGCACATTCAATCTTTGGACAAAGATCTCGAAAGAGTTTACAAACACAAATATTTTTTGTTAATTTTTTTTTAAAAAAAATATTTACAAGCTTTAGTTATAAACAAACACCAACTCATCATTTTTAAAATTTTCCATTAATGTATTCTCTATTTTTTTAAAAATTACAAACTATATTTATAAATAAATAGTTTCGTTAATGTATTCTCTATTTCATAGTCATTATTGTGGACCTAATTTTTATAATAATTTATATATTGTATGTTTTAATTATTTTTATTTTAATTACTTAATATTTATTTTTATGATTTTGTACTACATAAACATTATTATTATTATTATTATTAGATTATATATAATAGTTTTATATATGATTGTATTATTATTTTATATTTGTTAATGATTAATTACCATGTGCATTGCAGGTGAATTTTGTTCGCATATATATAAAGAGAACTTTCTCATGACATTATGTAATAAATACGAAAATTATTGAATGTATAACCATTGAAATAGACATTATTGTGCATTTCCAAAGCTCTTATAGTTTATAAAAACAAAAGGTTTTTACGCAAACTAGTAACATAATTTTACATTATTTTTTCTTTTTAAAATAAAAGGCAGAGAGTTCGAATCTCTAGAAGACCCCTCTCCTTGAAAAAAAAAAAAAAACCATGGGATATACATCTCTAGACCCCAACATGTCTTTAAGGGGTCAGCTACCACTAGTCTATTGACACCTACATAAGGGGTTCAATAACCATGTAACAAAAAGACCATAGTATCCCCCAAAACAACACACTTTTTCTTCATCGCATTGAATGGACAAACTTGTCACTCTTTATCTTCATCACCACCATTGCTATATAATTTGAAGCTTCTAATACCATGATGATGATGATTTATGGTGGTCTCTTTTGTTTCCTCATCTCTCTTCCTCTTGGTCTGAGACAAAGAAGAAATGGCTTTTGCTGACACCACCTTCCTCACAAGCAGCTTCCACCTTGCATCATCTCCCTTCTTTTCTTCTTGCACTTTCAGTTTGAATTGTCTGTTAAATGACCCAACAGTAATATCATCAAAACATTGCAATATTAATTCTAATCAACTGATAATAATACAAGAAAAACATAATAATAATAATAATAATAATAATATAATAAAAGAAAAGTTAAAACACAGTTTAGAAAATTAGGTCCCTCCAAAACCATTCAATGTGTGTTTACTCTACAGGACAAGTAATTATTAGAGATATTTTCATGGAAATAGATAGAGGTAACACCTAATTTGATTCCCATTCAATGAACCACGCATGAAGTGCCACACAACTCCTTAATTGTCAAAGATATTTATTTTTTTCCAATCACAATATATGACAATAACACTCACATCTCTTCCATATGCAACTGAATTGATAGAATCTAATATTGGCCACAACTACTATGAATAATAGCACCTTTTTAGAATCACAAAAATGAAATAAATAAATAAATAAATAATTTTACCCTTTTTCTTTTAATTTCTCTCTACTAGTCTCGAAACTTTTATCCAAAACTTGAGAGCTAAAACCCCAGTGACAAAAGAAGACTAGTTAAAATGTTTTCTTCGATCTTTGAAAAAAATTATGAGCACAAAACGGTTTCAAATAATTAAAAATGGCTTTAAATACTTTCTAAAATTGGTACTTAAAAAATGTAAACCTAGAGAAGAATTTAAAAAGAATAGTTAAAATCAAAAGAATTTTCAAACTACTATTTATAATGTTTTATATTTAACTTCATATTTGTCAATTCTCAGAAAGAAAATCAATTGAAGTGGTTTCGTTAGCCTCGGACATGTGTCCATCCAACCATCATTGTTGATGCCTTGTGTTGTCATGTTGTGCATAAATGCGAAGACATTTTGACACGACTCTTGCGAGTGATGGTGGGAACCAGGACAAAAAAACAAGCACCCAAATGGGTTGAGGTCAAAAATATCAGGTTGAGTGAGTGGGACTGGCCAACCACTTGCGCAAGCCCTAGAATCAACCCAATAAACATACCAGCTGGATGGTTACATTTATTCATCATTCAATGTACCAATCATATCAAAATATCACATGTTTTTCGATGGTCTTTTCAGGGCATTAGGATTCAATGATGTAGACTAAACAAATGTGTTTGTAGATGCTGTGGAGCCCATATAAATTCACACAATTTAACAGTGGACTATGTGATAGAGAATTGTGCGTACTAGGATTCACAATCCAACCACGCAAAATCACATCTGCAAGATTTGTGAATCCTGAAATGCAATATTAGTATTTTTTTCAAATATCAAACATGAATTTTGATTAAATTCGACTACCAAATAAATACCAGAAATATTAAATAATTTCACTACAAAGAAGAGGGTTTTCAATTTTACCTGCAAAGGGGGACTTTGCAAAGATCAGACTGGTCACAGATCGAAGAGTGTAGTCTTAGAAGCTGCCACATCCGCTTGCATTGCACGCACCCTCCGTTGACCCTTCTCTTACACGTGGCAAAGTGACGAATCGAACGCTGGAGGCCCTGACACGTGGTGAATTTGCTACATGGCCCTCTGTTCTTGGTAGGGTCCACATTGTAGGGTCCAACAGTGGTACACCCTTCTGTGCATATGTGCTCCAAACACTCCATGGCTTCGCTCAACTGTAGGTACAAATTCTGTTCCTCTCTGTATCTTCGCCTTCTCTTCCTCCTCTGTTTTAAATTCAATTATTTAATTCACAATCATAATAAATCAAATCATTTAATAATTAAAGCGAAAATTGCAAATCGAAATTTAAAACACACGTGAAAAATCAAATTTAATTTATTTTTAGGATGATAGAAAAATAAGTACTAAAAGTGGTTGATATATCAAATTATTGATCATATATATATATATATAATTGGGTGTTCAGCCGATTAATATATGAATCGTTTAATGCACTACAAGTATTAATAATAATAAAATAAAACAAAATTACGATAATATGGTCTTGTCAAGGTGTGTACCAATTCAGTTTCATCAATGAACTGCAGGACCTCCAATTCAAGCAAAGGGTCGTGATTTTGCAGGAACTTCCAACCTTCAGTTTCTTCAACAGCCTTGAAACTGTTGTTGACCAGCTTCATGCACTTGAGGTAAAGATCGGGTGCGTCGCAGAGTCTCGCAAGTTGAAGCACGTCCACCACGTTCTCAATCGTCAGCCGTTGGATCAACCCTTTGGTGCATCTCTGCTTAAGATGTGGTACCAAGTACACGTGGGACAGAGCCAGCAGATGAATCCCGTACTTCTCCATGTCCTCCTCCGTGCAACTGTAGTCAAGGGCTTTTTAGTCATTTCAAATATTAATACTACTTTAATTACTAATTAGGCAGTGACAACTACTTGGGACCAATTTACTACCGACCAACCTATTATTACGGAAAGTTAATATTCAATTTTTATATCTATATAGACTATATGAGCATGAGGTGTTGAGTGTGCCACGTGTTACTTAATAGACGTGGTCACAATGATTTTGCTTCTTTAATGCTATGGTTATTTCATTGATTATTTAAGTTATTCAGATTTTGAGGTGAGAAGCTGGCCGATTGGAATGGACTTACTTGTCACATTTCTTTCAATCAATTTTATAAAAAGTAATTTTCAAATTTATTACTCCGTAGCTTTTTATAATAGGTTGGTCCAAAAAAAAAAAAAAAATGAATACTCCAGTACCCTACTTTAGATTTTAAAGCTATATTAAATGATAATTTAATGGTGGAAAGAATTGGGAGTACAATATCTCGGAATATTGTAAAACTTTTAGATTTAGCTTAGTATATCTAAATAGTATTGTCCAAATCAAAATTGAGAATGAAAGAATTAAAAATAATTTTAATTTCAAATTCATTTTTTGTAATAAAAATATTTTTGGCATAGAAAATTTAGAATATATTGTTAAAATTTAAATTTTAAAAATAATAATAATAGTTTATGTGAATAGATAAATTTGTTCGATTATTGGATCCCTAGAAATTCATAGAAATGGTTTTTATTTATAATAATAATAATAGTTTATGTGAATTTTTTTTAGGTTACACAAAAATAATAATAATAAGTAAATAAATAAAATACAAAATGCTTAATAAGAAAGATATACAACATATATATATATATATATATATATATATATATATAGGAAGGTTCGGCGTGTGTATAGCAACTGACCTGGAGGAATAGAGAAATCGAACGAAGACGACAACGGCATCGGAAGGAACGCCGACGATCGGAATAGTCTTCTCGGAGCTCCGGTGTTTACGAGGCTGATCTATGATGCTCTCCAGTACAGGCGATGCAGAGGCCTTCAATTTTCAGAAACAGAAGAACAACAAAAAAAAAAAAAAAATCAGATCTTTTCATTCAAATGCCTCAAAACTGTAAAATTTAAATAAAAATTAAAAAAATAAATAAAATAATTTTGATCAGGAGTGAAAAAGTTATTGTTAATCAAAACAAAACGATTGAAGATGTTCTTTAAACGCACAAAAATTTCTTCAATTTCAGAACAGAGCATTACAATTGAATAAGAAGCATTTAGGATTGAAAATTTGAATTTTTGATCGAATAGGAAATTGAATCAGTATCTGGAAATGAAAAAGACCAGAGAGAGATCGAAGCTGTTAGAATTACCAGTATGCTACAGTGCGCCGGGATGCGTAGTCCACCGGAGGTGACGATTTGGACATTAGTTTCTGGCATTTCGGGGGATCTTTGATCGAATTCGGACTTGAACGGCGATAGTCCGTACGATTGATCGGAAAAGTAGTTTGGCGACATTGCTGTGTGCTTCACTTAGATCTTTTAGAGAGAGAGAGAGAGATAGTCGTTTTTTGAGATGTGTCTTGATGGGAGGGCATTATGGCACTCCATTCCATTATATAGACAGCACAGCGGAGAACAAACAAAACTCATGGTTGGCACTCCAAATTTGAGTACTTGCTCTACGCTCTCTCTGGTGCGTGAACCAAACGTGTAGAATCTCTTTGTATATATTTTTTAAGCCATTTTTGTTTTGTTATGCTAGATCTATTTATGTTGGGTTCATTTTCGAATCACATCAGCGGATCTCCGATCTAGGTCGGTTTTAGTTTTTTCTCGCCTAAATTTGATATTTTCTTCCTTAATTTGATCTTGTGCGGAATTTGTTATGTGTCGGAGAGCCATGTGGCGATAACTTTGGAGCTATTGTTTTGAAGAATGGTCTGACCTTTTAGGTCACTCTATGGTGGTTCCGTTGCAAAATTTTAGGCTCTGTTTTCTCCACAGATCTAGGGTATGTTCTTCATTTTATTGCTTTGCTTCATAATTTTTATGCCTTTTCTGGCTTGATTTTTTTGTTTTATACTGCCGCTGGCTTAGCCTTTGTGTCGATATATGATATTGTTTTCATGATTAAAAAAAAAAAAATCCCTTAGTTTTATGATATACTCAGTATTTTTTTTTTTCATTGCCTCTTTAAAAACAACGTGTGATCCACAAATTCAATTATCTTGTTTTAATTGTCATTCACATAAATAGTATGATCTTTCTTTCACAAATGGGAAAGGTGTTGGGTGTTTCGATCACTATTGAAGATTTGTGGATTGTTTGTTTCATTAAAAAAAAAAAAAAAAAGAAAAAGAAAAAGAAAAAGACAGACTAGACTTTGACGTTAATGTCACTCAATCAACAAGAATATGATATAATCAACTAATTAAGTTTCATTACATAAAATTATAAATAAATTGGACACTCAATGATGTTATAAATGCATTCGATTCAAATATATATATGCTTTTACTAAACGCGTTACAAATTATGTTAAGATTTTATTTGTGATATTTTATTAACAAAATGTCAAGTGGTCACAGCTCCACAATTTTAGTCACAAGATTTAAGAGCTGAGCTTGCATTGCACCAAACACGACTTTTTATATGTTTTACTTTTTCTTCAATTATTTTCAAAAAATAAGTTTTAAAATAAATAAATAAAACACACCTTCTTGGGCGCGTGGGTGTTTCATATCTGATTTTTTTATTGAATTCCTTCTCTTCCTGCTCCCTTCTTACCAATTTTCTTTGGAAGTCCCTGATTTTAAACCGCGTTTGTTTGCCAGACAAAAGGAAGCTGGATTGGACTAATCGTCACAACTCCCCGTTACCCCCAGCTCTTATATTTATTATTATTGTTATTTATTTATTATATATATATATATATATTATATTATATCTTTTATATTTTTCATTTTATAAATACAGCACATATGACACAAGTTCAAAATGCTCTATTAGACTTGCAAAGACAGACATTCTATGTCATGAATTTTTTTGTTGTTAAGTTTGAAGCATAAGTTTTTTTAATGTTCTTATATTTGTTTACATATCATGCTAAAAATGGGGTGGTTGAAATTTTTATTCTTAAAATCTGGTGGCAGCTTAATTGCAGTGCTAAACGTTATTTTTTGTTTAGTTCAGTGTTTTAAATTAATTTTTAAAATTAAAAAACGGTTTTTATATATTTTGAATATAAGTTTTCTCTTAAATTGGACTTTTATACTTCTGTAAATGTATATCAAACAAGAGCTTTGCATGGGGCAAAAAGCTAAAGAAATTCATTCTCTTCATTTTTTTTTTTTTTTTAATAATATAAAACAGATTATTGTGGCGATTTTAATAAATAGATTACAATAAAAATAAGAATGGATCATCTCTCATTTTAAAGTGTTTCATCCGTCACTAAGAAAAAGAAAATTTGTGTAAGTTAGTTTTACTTTGAAGAGAGTTAATTTTTAAATCATAGGGAGTTAATTTACCCAAAACTTAATGGAAGTGGGAGATAAATAGATGGATATGATATCCTCGAAAAGTGAAAGTATCTTTCTTACTATTTATTTTATTTTGTTGGATGAAATAAATAATAAAAATAATAAACGTAGAGTTTTTATATATGTTTTACCAATATACTCAACCTAACACCATTTTTTTTTTTATTTATTCCTCTCTCATTAATCCCTTCAGCCAAGCATGGTACGATATGTGGTACCATGGAGTAGGAAAGAATTCCTTTGGATGAAAGGATTTTATGTGTAGGTGTTCTGAGAATTCTAACACCAACATCGAAAAATAGAAAATAATTAAATTAAATTAAAAAAAAAAAAAAATCCACCGTGACTGAGCCTGATAGCATTTTCATCTGATATGTTAAATCTTACACAGCTTTTGTAACATCTATTTTTGACATCAAAAACTTCTTCAATTAAATGTTTACTTGGTATTTGACATATCATCATATATGTTAAATTTAGCATATCAAAAAGTCCTATGCCAAATAAATTTTTTTTATTATTATTTTAGTTTATGGATCCTACAAAACAATTCAAATTTGACATATAGAGCATCTCCATCCGAAACTTTAAATATTAATAGATTGAAGTATGTCAAAGGCCAAAAATGCCATATGTGGAGTTTGTGTATTCCTAAATTTTGAAATGTCAAGTTTTGACTTTGTATATTTACTAACATAACTTATATCACTTCTTATCTTAAAAAAAAAATAAATAATAAAAATAAAAAAGAAAATAAAAAAGAAAAATTTTGCCACATCATATCTCAAATTATTTGAGGTACAAGTGCTTTTATGTTTTAACTTATTTGATTATTTCCGGCTGTACTCTAACACGTATATTGTTCTAGCTGTTCTCACGTTTGCATTGGCTTTGCAAGGTGGAAACTGTTACAAGCCTGATGAGCGACATGTGTCAGGAAGACAAGCGCATAAACCGCCATAAACTCATAAAATAATAAACAAAACAAGAAAAAACACGTCAGCTTCTGTCCAATAAAAACCGTCGATTTTGCCTCTGACATAATGGCTTGCGCTGCGCGTGGTCGTAGCTGATTAGCTTTTTGCACTTCAAAGTTCAAACATGGTTGATTGATTAATTTGGTATAATTATATGGTATTAGTTTAGGTCACGAGGTATATTGTGAACATGTTGCTATGATATTTCGTATTATATCATTTTTTTTTTTACTTTTGTTGGTTGAAATTGTTGCAACTCAAAAGGAATATTCATCAGTTAGTATCAATTATTTTATGTTATAGTGGTTATGAATATTCTACAACTTTTTGACCAACAATTCTAATTTGGTCTAAGTCTATTATTACTTCTGATAAAAAGAAATGGACCATTAGGGTTCGTGTTCACCACATTGTTCGCCACATAGAAATGAATCATAATTAATATGACCTAATTGCCTAATTATTGATAAGTAGTTACATCCAAAGGAGACAATGAGTTTTAGTGAAACAAATGTGTAACAGACAAATATGAAAAATGAAAATATATTGTTATGCCAATAAAAGAAATATTATTATTATTACTATTTTAAGGTCTGTGCATATTCATTGAATTAATCAACATGGGAGATAAGGAGGTTTTTGGGGTTTGTGGGGGATATAGTTTTCGAGGGAATCTTCTGGTTTTTTTCTTTATTTTTTTCTTTTTAATTTTTATTTTTTACTTACGTATCAACTAATGATGAGTTTGGAGACTCTGGACTATGTAATAATTTGTGCCAATATATATAGTTTTCTATTTAAAGGATAAAAAAAAAGAGAAAAAAAAAAAAAAAAAAAAGGAAAAAAGGTGAGAGTTCAAGATCCATAGAGACAATAAATATACGACTATATTATATTCTATATAGTCAAATTGCAGAAAGTGTACCACAAATAAAAACACAATAACTTTTCCTCCTATATATTTAAGGTTACTTCTACGAAGAAAACAAACATGGTAATAAAGTCTGAACGTAAAGCCTCATGGATATATACATATATATTATTCTATATTGTCAAATTGCAGAAGGTGTACACGAATAAAAAAACACAATAACTTTCCTGCTACACATTGATTTCTCCATACTATTCCGAGTTCCACTTTCCTCTTGTTTTCCATGCACCCCGTCCATATGTGCACCATCCATAGTTTTTTTTTTTTTTTAAATTTTTTATAACCTTGGTCACGTCCATAGTAGTTTCACTATATTTCCTTTAGAATTAATATGATAAAGTTACATAACATATAACCATGAATATATATATATATATACTGTTAATTTCACTAACACCTCATTTTAATAAATATTATATTAAAACATCTTTCGAAAATAAATATCACTCACATTTGTCTCGTTTTTTACTTACATTCCAAAAATTACTTTTCAATTGTGTCAGATATTTTTTTGTATGTAAAATGAGATTACTACCCTTCTAACTATTTCTTAACTTACCAACGGAACAGTGGTCTAACGGTATCAGCCTCTTACCTCTGGTCAGAGTTTCAAGTCTAGAAAGAGACATGTGTGTGAGTACGAATTAGGAGGGAGAGAGAAAAAAAAAAAAAACAAAAAACAAAAAACAAAAAAAACTATCTCTCAACTTAAAAAAGTGTTAAAATGACTTAGAATACCATTTGACATTAATTATATAAATTTATGATTATTCTTTATATATATATATATATATATATATATATATAAATTGGAGGTGGGTCTCTACATGATGATGATGATATATATATATATATATAGACCCACCTCCAATTTATATATATATATAAATATATATATATATATATATATATATATTTGTTCTTATGTACACCAACTAAATTATAATTATTTTTTAAAATTATTCTTTATATATATATATATATATATTTCTCATCATATACACCACCAGTTTTTCTACCTTTTCTATATCTTTTTCTTTTTTTTTTTTTTTTTAATTTGCCAATTTCCTTTTCTTCTTCATTACTTTCGCAAAGAATTTTTCTTTTTATTCTTTCCTTCTTATTCATTACTGTCGGCAAAGAA